GCCATTGAGGCCATTTGGGGAGTGAACCAGCATATGGAAGACCTCTGTTTCTCCCTCTCTTTCTGTCTAACTTTGTCTTTCAAAAGAAAAAGAAAAAAAAAAGAATTCACCAGAGCACATCGAGAGTAGAGCTAGATTTATTGAACACACTACAGAGAAACAACAGGCAAGGAGGTCAGGTAGGGACTGACAGTTGCTGCAACACAGACCGGAGGTATGCACCTGTAGCAGCAGTCCTTTCTTAGGGTAACTGTTGTCATTTGCTTGCACAAGTAGTGGGCAGGACAGCTGTGTGCTGCAATATGGACTACAGTCCATGAAGCATTCTTGTGGCTGCAATATTTCGTCAGTTAGGGTGAGTTCTCTATGGTCCACAAGAAGTTTTCCCAGATAGGTGTGATGTGGGATAGGCAGGTAATCAGTATAGGTCAGCTGAGCGGGAAGTCCCTGCAAGACCCCATATGTAATTCTATCCTACTTGTCAATCATAGCACCCACTTTCCTGATATCCATTTGCCTCATCTAAGACTTAAGTAAGAATGCCATGAAAATTTGGATATTAAGTTCCACATGGAACTGTAGAGCTACCACCCCCTACCTCATAAAAGAGGCCAGCAACTGGGAGAAGCTCACTTTCTATCTGTCTGTCTGTCTCTCTCTCTGTGTGTGTGTGTGTTTTGCAGCAGACCTCATCTGGAGGTGCTGTGCAATGCCCATTCTCTTTCTCCTCTCTTTAGGTAATCTTCTGACCCACTGCCCACCTATGATGGGTATTTCTCATGCATGTATGTATTTTCAGATTCTCACCTTTAGAATAAATCTTATCACTTTGCACAGGTATACATGTATGCACTTGTAATGCTTGTCTTTGTTCAAAGCAAGGTCCTGGAGTGAAATTAATACACATCAGGTGATTTGCATGTCTGGACTGAGCTGGGAAGCCTGCAACCCCTTCATTTTCGGGCACTCCACCAAATGCCCTTGCACCACCTCCCACAGTGAGAGTGGCTTGGAGTGTGGGCAGGTGGAGGACCACATGATGAGACAGGAAGCAGAGAGAGCAGCTGGGCCCAACACCGACTTCTATACCAATCCTTTCACCAGAACTATTTCCCCCAGTGACCAGGATTCCCACGAGGTCTACCTCTTCGACACCAAAACATGATTAAGCTTCTGTTAACTTTCTAGCAATTAACTTGTGACTTTGGGGTTTAAACGTCTACATGGGCTTAGGAACCAAATAATATTCAAGCTATAGTGAACTTGATCTTCCTTCAGTAGGACACATGATGGAGATAAAATCTTGAGCCAAACTTGGCCAGAAATGATGCCTAATTTGGGAATTAATGACCATGAGGTATTTTCTGAAGGTCACTGTTTTTAAATACTTCCAAATCCACCATTCTTTGGGTCTTTCATTTCTCTTAAAACTCTAAGGTTTAGGAACTGCTGGCTGATTATTATGACTTATAAAATTATTCAATAGAAGAAATCAACTGAATACCAGAGAATAAAAGAATGATTCTCAATATTTATTTCTCCAAGTATAAACTACTTGTTTTGAAGCACATAATTATTACAGTTATAATTGGCTATTATCAGGTAGAAAATTGAAAGATGAGAAATGAATTGTAAATGAATGGAAACCCCGTGGATAATTTTTGTTCTTCTGAGTAGTTTCTGCTACTTACTGGCTTTCAGAAAAACAAATCAATAACTATTATTTAGAGCTTCCCTCCAGCTTCCAGCGTGTTAGGGGCCTTTCCTCTCTCGGTGATCCTGTAATTTCATCAATGTGGTATCGTTAGCACTCCACAGTTAGCAATTAACCTTTTTCCAACCAGCTCAGTATAGCTTGAGGAAAAAACTGTCAGTCACATGGAATACGCTCAAATTTCAGCAGTTTAGCTAGTTCTATTTAAGGTAGATGAAACAGCTGTTAAACTTATAGTTACAGCTAGAGTAAGTATTGATTTGTAAGAACCAATTTCCTGTTTTTAAGGCAATCTGAGGAACCAAGGGGATATCTGTATCAGTCATTTTTAATCTTGGAAAGAAGTAAAGTGCTCCTGTTAGGGGCACCATAACATTTTTTTTTTCCAGAGCTCATTACAACGGCTCCTTTTTAGATACCAAGATGCTCATTCGTATTCCACAATCACACCACTGTATTTGTAGGGTTCTTTCACACAATTACTTCAAATGAGCTTCACAACAATGCTGGGAGGTCGCAGTAATTGTGTCCTTTATTCTGATTAGAAAGCAAGGCTCACAGAGGTTAGGTAACCTGTCTTTCCTCCCACAGCAATGAAGTAAAACAAAGCTCAGACCAGTTTTACTAAGTTTATGAGTATTTTGCACAAACACATAGTCTGAGATCCTTGCCCTAGATCTCTAGTGAATTTCTGGATGACCTTGAATGTTGCCTGCCTGGCACTCAGTTTCCTCAACTGTCAAATGAGCTGAAATAACATAGAGTTGGCTCAACGGGATTCATCCATCTGCATGAGATCTCTGACTCCAGGCATCTCCAAATTACTTTGTATCCCAGCAAGAGTGCTTTAGTGTTAATTATTGATGAAGATTGCATCATATTGTCCTATGGTGTGTTTTGTTAGAGTAATGATGTTTTTAGTAATTTGAGCACACTGCACAGCATTTACTTTCTAAGTCTTTGCTGAGTTTTTTGATGAGTTCTTTTTTAAAAGATAGTATCCAAGACCTACAGAATATACTAGTAATTATGTTGGTCATTAATTTCCTCTAAAATCCTATAAAATTTGCTCTTGACATGTGTTACAAGTAATTGGAATGGTTTAAACAGCCCAAAAAATTAAAAGATGGACAGATTAGTTCTTACTCCAGTGAGTAGGAATTTATCCATTTTTTTGTATTAATGTGAATATAAAAATGCCATTGATAAAGAAGATTCCAGAGACTAGCCAACAAATAATGTACGTAGTAGATGAACGCATTCCAAGTAAAGGAAGAAATGCCCATTTTAAATTGTCATGGACTAAATTAAATATAGAATAAAACATAAACTTTTTTTTTTTTTATTTTTTGACAGGCAGAGTGGACAGTGAGAGAGAGAGAGACAGAGAGAAAGGTCTTCCTTTGCCGTTGGTTCACCCTCCAATGGCCGCCGCGGCCAGCGCGATGTGGCCGGCGCACCGCGCTGATCCGATGGCAGGAGCCAGGAGCCAGGTGCTTTTCCTGGTCTCCCATGGGGTGCAGGGCCCAAGCACCTGGGCCATCCTCCACTGCACTCCCGGGCCACAGCAGAGGGCTGGCCTGGAAGAGGGGCAACTGGGACAGAATCCGGCGCCCCGACCGGGACTAGAACCCGGTGTGCCGGCGCCGCTAGGCGGAGGATTAGCCTAGTGAGCCGCGGCGCCGGCCCAAACATAAACTTTTTTAAGAAGATGAACTTTTTGTTTATATAGACAGTTGGTCTCAATGATTAAAATTGAATGCAATCCAGCAAGAAACAAATGATTTTCACAGAGAAAATAGTCTATAAAATAAATTTAAAACCCTAGAGTACATTCTGGGGTTGCCTAGCTCCTCTGAGGAGCTCTGTTGGGAGGCACTTTCTCTTTCGTTATATATTCTACTTGTGGACTGCAAAGACTGAAAAGAGTTGAAAGGAATGGAGGAGATCTGATACACACTAACTGATGAGATTGGGAAACTATTTTCAGTGAAAGGAAAAATCCTGATCAGGGCTTTCCTTGAGTCATTTCTTTAAACCTCCATGTCACTTCTTTTGCAGATTTTAATAATGGTACATAATATAAACTAAAAATGCCATTGTTTTGTACCGTGAACATGCTGACCTTGATTTTCCTTATCTTTCACATTTATCGCTGTATTATGTCTCCAAAGTTATTAGTGGCTGATATTAAGTCCTAATGAAGACAAATGCAAGAAAGTTTTGTAATTCTAATAATAAATGTGGAGAAAAAATGATCATATGGACTTTAAGAAATGTAAGGGTCCAATATGCATGTGTATGTATGCATTAGACATGAGTGTATATGCATATGCAATTCTGCTGCTAATAAAAATCTCCCCATGGCTGCTAAGTGTACAGCAGTATTTAAAATTATAAATTCATTTTAATAGAAAAGAATGTGTATCTGTTTAAGATAATACTGCTAAATTTTAGGGCAGGACGTGGAAAGAGGGGAGGCAGTTTAAAGACAGATTACTTTAAAATACATTATAATTATGTGATCAAAGACTATAGATGGGGACTAGAGGACAATACACAAACATTTTCTCCTTTGAATCACTTTCAATAGGTGCCAATTTCACCTGAGATGAACACAGTTGAGTCCTTTTTCTCAGTTCTTAGAGCCAATATTACTATGTGCTAAAGGGCACTAATAAATATTCTCTGAGGAATTTATCTGAATATCCTACTCTAAACTTTTTATAAGAAGATTCGTTGATTTATTTGAAGGGCAGAGTTATAGAGAGAGGGAGAGACATAGAGAGAGCTGCTGGTTCACTCCCCAAATGGCCACAACAGTTGGAGCTGGGCCATTCTGAAACCAGGAGCCAGGAGCTTCTTCTGGTCTTCTATGGGGTTAACAGGGGCCTAAGGACTTGGACCATCTTCCACTGCCTTACCAGGCCTTAGCAGAGAGCTGGATCAGAAGAGGAGCAGCTGGGACTCAACTGTCTCCCATATGGGATTTCAGCACTGCAAGTGGCAACCTTACCAGCTACATCACAGCGCCGGCCCATAGGTTTTCTTTTATAAAGAGTCGTGTTCATCAATAAATAGTTCACACACAGTAAAATGCTCTTGTTTAAGCACTGCCTGTAGGCACCACCACACTCAATATATGAGCAATATTTCTCACAGCTCAAAGTTCTCCCGTGCTGGCTCATTGCAGTCAATCCTCTTTCCTATTCCATTACTCACAAGAAGTGTTCTAAATTCTGTCCCATTAGCTTTATCTCTTCCAGAAAACGATCTAGGGTCTAACCTGATGTGTCATTTTCCTGTTTTCATGATACTTTTGAGACACATCCATAATGGCGTATATAGCAATGTTTTTTCCTTTTTATTGATTTGTATTCCTTTTCATCTTGTGGGTATAACATTCACCAAATGATAGACAGTGGGGTTGTTTCCAGTCTTGGTGTATGGGTCTTTGTGTGGACATATAACTTCATTTCTCTTGAGTAACAGTTATCTAGAAGTAGGCATTCTGGGTTGTATGGGAAGTGCACATTTATCTTTAAGAGTCTGCTGGGGCAGGCATGTAGCTAGTGGTTAGATGCTGATGAAGACACCCCGTGCTATATTGGACTGTCTGGGCCTTATCCAGCTCTGGCTCCTGATTCCAGCTCCCTAAGAATGAGGACTGTGGGAGGCAGCGGTGATGAATCAAGTAATTGGGCTCCTGCCACTCACATGTTCCTGGCTTCTGGTTTCAGCCTCGCTTAGCCCCAGCCGTTGCAGGCATTTTGGTGGTGAACCAGTGGATGAGAGCTCTCTCTCTCTCTCTCTCTTTCTTCTTCTCTCTTTACCTCTTAAAATATCAAAGAATTTGTCAACTGTTTTTCAAAGGGATCGTGCCATTTTGAATTATCACCAGCAATAAGACTTCCGGTTGCTCTGCACCCTAGTCATACTTAACACGGTGAATTTAGGAATCTGATCGTATCTTACTGTGGATTCTATTTGCATTTCCCTAAGTAGTAATGAAATTGGACACTTTTCATTTGTGCATTTGCTGTTGATATCAGTTGTGATTCTTGGCCCCATGTCTTATTGAGATATTTGTTTAATTATTGAGTATAAAAAAGGGACTTTATATTAAAAAAGGATCTTTATCATATATCTATTTTTTAAAAAATATTTATTTATTTTGAAAGTCAGAATTCCAGAGAGAGAGAGAGACTGATCTTCCATCTGTTGGTTCACTCCTAGATGGCTGCAACAGCCTGTGCTGGGCCAGAATGAAGCCAGGAGCGAGGAGCTTCTTTCGGGTCTCCCACGTGGTTACAGGGGCCCAAGGACTTGGGCCATCTTCCACTGCTTTCCCAGGCACATTAGCAGGGAGCTGGGCCTTAAACCAGTGCCCATATGGGATGCTGGCATTGCAAGTAGTGGCTTTACCTTCTATGCCACAACACCAGCCCTCAAATATCTATTTTTTTTAAATATTTTCTCCTAGTGTGGCTGATTTTTCTATTTCTCAACATCATTTGAAGAGTGAAAATTTTAAAATTTTGGTGAAGTCTAATTTATTATTTTTCCATTTATGATTTAAGTTCATCTGTCCTAAGAAATTTTTGCCCAAGTCAAGGTCACAAATATTCTGTGATTTTCTATAGAACTTTTGTAGCTTTATAGTTTCATTTAGGTCCATGGTCCAGTCATAATTTATTTTTGCTGAAATGATTTCCTTTCTCCATTGACATACTTTGAATTCCTTATTAAAATCCAAGTGACGTGATATATGTGGGTCTGTTTCTGGGCTTGCTCTTCTATTGATCTTTATGTGTGTGCTGGTGTATCACATTGTCCTAATTATATAGTTTTAATCCAAATCCAAATCGAGTTGTGTGAGTCCATAAGGATTGTTCTTTTACAAAGTTATTTTGTTTATTTTAACTCTTAACATATCAAAATTATCAGCTTGTCATTTATTACAAAAAATCTGTAGGAATTTCTGTTTAGATCGTACTAAATCTATAGATCACCTTGGAGGACTATCAATAGTTTAATTTCATCTTCTGACCCATTGGACAGTGTACCTCTTTCCATCTGCCTAAACTGTTAGTCCCCTTACACATATTTTGTAATAATCAGCATGTGAATCTTGTATTTTATTCGATTTATCTTTAAATGTTTTATTTTCTAATGTTATTATGAGTGGCATATTTTATATTTTTAATTTCTGATATTCCATTGCTTGGATATCAAAATATAATTTATTTCTGTTCATTGACCTTGAATCCTAGGTATTTGCTAATTAAAACTTAATTATTAATTTAGTGGATTTGTGGGGGAGGTTGGGATTTTCTTTGTAGATGATAATGTTACCTATAAATAAATACTGTTTTATATCTATATTTTTTTCAAATATGTATTCCTCTTATTTCTTCTTGCCTTGCTGATCTATTTAGGATCTCCAGTGCAATATTAAATATAAAGATTTATTATTTATTTGAAAGTCAGAGTTACACATAGAGAGGAGAGGCAGAGAGAGAGAGAGAGAGAGATCTTCCATCCGATGGTTCACTCCCCAATTGGCCACAATGGCCGAAGCTGCGCTGATCTTAAGCCAGGAGCCAGGAGCCTCCTCTGGCTCTCCCACGTGGGTGCAGGGGCCCAAGGACTTGAGACATCTTCTACTGCTTTCCTAGCCCATAGCAGAGAGCTGGATCAGAAGTGGAGCAGCCGGGACTAGAACTGACGCCCATATGGGATGCCGGTGCTTTCAGGCCAGGGCGTTAATCCGCTGCGCCACAGTGCTGGCCCCCTGCCTTTCTTCATCTTGTAATTCAATCTTTCACTATTATGATATCAAACACTTTCTTTTAATGATGCTATTATCAGATTGAGGATATTCCTTTACATTATAGGTTTGCTGATTTTTTTAAAGATTTACTTATTTATAAATTTGAAAAGCAGAGAGAGAGAGAATCTTCCATCTGCTGGTTCACTCCCAAATGCCTGTAACAGCCAAGAGTTGGCCAGGCTGAAGCCAAAAACCAGGAGCTCCATCAGATCTCCTGTATGGGTGACTGGGACTCAAGCACTTGAGCCAATATCCACTGCTTCCCAGGCACGTTGGCAGGAAGCTGGAAAGGAAGCAGAGTAGCCTGGGCTTGAACCAGGGCTCCAGGGTGAGATGTAGGCATCTTAAGTGGTAGCTTAAACCACTCTGCCACAAACCCATCACTGATAATTTTTTAAATTATGAATGGATGTTGAATTTTTGTGAAATGTTTATTCTGCATCCATTTTGGTGAGCACGTATGTTACTTTTCCTAAAAGACTATTAATATAGTGTAATATTGAGCTCATATCACATTTTTGGGATAAATCACCCAGGTTACTATGCTATTTTTGTGTAGTAACTTTTATTTCATATTTGTTGTTGTTGTTAATGATTTTATTTATTTATTTATTTGACAGGTAGAGTTACAGACAGTGAGGGAGAGACAAACTGAAAGATGTGCTTGTTAACTCCCCAAATGGCCGCAAAGGCCAGAGCTGAGCTGATCCAAAGCCAGGAGCCAGGAGCTTCTTCCAGGTTTCCCATGTGGGTGCAGGGGCCCAAGCACTTGGGCCATCTTCTACTGCTTTCCCGGGCCATAGCAGAGAGCTGGTATGGAAAAGGAGCAGCCAGGACTAGAACCGGGGCCTATAAGGGATGCCAGCGCCCCAGGTGGAGGATTAACCTACTGCACCACAGCAACGGCCCCTATTTGATATCTGCTACATATTTTTGCATGTATGTCATGAGGATGATAGTTTCCAGTTTTCTTGTAGTAGCTTTTTTTCTGGTTTTAGTAGCAAAGTAATGCTGGGCTGATATACTGATGTGGAGATTCATCATTTATTTTTTATTTTCTGGAAAAATTTGGGCACAATTAGCATTTTTTCTTTCTTAAATGTTCTATAGAGTTCACTAATAAAGTAATCAATGTCTGGAGTTGTGCTGTTTTAGAAATAGTCTGATACATCGACAAGGGAATATTATCTAGTGCTAAAAATAAATGAACTATCAAGCCATGAAAATATAGGGAAGAAACATAAATTCGTCTTATTCATGGAAGAAGCCAATCTGAGAAGGCTACATCCTATATGGTCAGTGGTTGCCAGGAGTAGGAGGAAGTGGAAAGGGATCATTTGTTTTGGGGTCTATTCTTGTTATTGTGTGTTGTATACGTTTGGGTAAATGAATAATGACATGTATGCATAATTATTAATGTACTAAATTAAGGTTAAAGGAAATATTAAATACTAAATCAGCTTCCTAGTATCCACTTGACTTGTTTTATGTTTCCCTGATATAACCATGTGAGTGAGTTTATGTGTTCTGCCAAGAAACAGAATTATAACCAAAACATCCCCTTTCTAGGTATAATTTTAACTGTGAAAATTGTCATCCATGTGAGTAGTGTTGCCCCACTTTTTGCTATAGGTTATAGTTCATTTCTTCAACTGCACTTCGGCGTGATTACAACAGAACCAACAGGAGCTTGTCAACCTCTGATAGCAAAAGAAAGGTCTGGGAACCTGGATTTTCTCTCTCTCTCTCTCTCTCTCTCTCTAAGAAAAGAAATATTTATTAATTCAACTGAAAGGCAGAGTTACAGGGAGACAAGGAGAGCCAGGTCTGGGCCAAGCCAGACCTAAGATCCTAAAATTCCACCTGGGTCTCCCACATGGGTGGCAGGGGCTCAAGCACTTGGACCATTTTCTGCTGCTTTCCCAGGCACATTAGCAGGGAGCTGGATAGATCGGAAGTAGAGCAGCCAGGACTCAAACTGGTACTCACAGGGGATTCCAGTGCTGCAGGCGGAGGCTTAACCTGCTACACTGTGATGCTGGCCCCAAACCTGGATATTTTCTAAATCTGCTCATAGAAAACTGTAGACTAGAAAGAAATGAGGGCTACAGCGAAGATGGTTATTAAGGTAATATCTCATTTCAAAAGGTCAAACTCCTGTATTAGTTCCTTGGGTTTTAATAACGAAGTCAGTAAGGCCTCCATAGTTACTATGTGCCTAATTTTGGCAGGATGCTAAATGAAATGGTGACCCTCATTGAGAGAAGATCTATCCCTGTCTCAAAGAGAACCCAAGACACAGAGGAAAGCTGTCAAGAGCTCTTACAGATAAATCCACCCACAAGCAGGCACTGGCACAATGCCGCTGGGCATGCAGCATTTATAGAGATCTCTCTTTTTTTTTAATGAAGAAAATGGATTTTTTTGCATTATTTCATACTTATATGAATAGTAAATCATACAATTCAAGTTCTCAGTCCTGTGTAACTGCCTGTGATTCA